TATGTGGCCCTTTAAAAATGCGTATATACGCGATCTAAATGGTCGTATATATGAGCTTAAAGCCCATACGTAACGTATGTAAACAAGTATACGTGGCAGAAAAACCCGCGTATACCCTGTCGTAATTTTGAAACGAATGGCCAGCCATATTTCTGTTATTGTTCATTTTTTAATAAATACCGTATTGAAATTTTGCTTGGAACATTCGGCTGTTTCGAAATGCTCATAAAAGACATAAGCCCTCGAGCTCTGTCCCGAATAAGCGCTCTGTCTCCAATAAGCGTCCTCCCTTGAGGAACTAAAAGTAATTAAACGCCCAGGGCGCTAATTAAATCGAATCTTTATCTACGGTAAATTATACATTACTGTAGACCAAGACGGCCTGATTTCTGTACGCTATCCCAGATAGGTCTGTCCCTTCTTCTCCAGCCCCCGCCCCCATACCCCCACCACCGGCCTCAAATACTGACCTGAGAACTTTTTCAGGACATCTAACGAATAACGATGCCACTTTTTAGTAAGAGGTGAAATGTATTTAGATTTAGCCAAGCCTAATACCAGGGCTCCCCTAAAACTAATTATGTTTACTCAAAACTATAACCTTTAAAGAAATTCACGATGCAAAGCGCTGATGGATTTAAGGCGGGGGTTAACATGAAGGCCATATTTTTGCTGGGTATTATGGTTTGAATGCAGATATCTCGTTCACGTTTCAAGCAGTGAAAAATCTCTCTGCTCATTTCACATAGCTACGTTTTGGGCTGTTTTGTAAATTTTTGGATGATTTTTGGATATACTTGGGGATAAATAGTTTTCTCAAAGGATTAGTAAAATTTATGGAAATAGGAAATTTTGAAGATTTGATGTTGTTTTAAAATTAGAATTTGAAGTTAGAAATTGGTAGACGTACAGCGGGTGTTACTAAACAGAGTGACCATCATCGATCACGAGGCTAAATTGTCTTGGGTGTGTCCAGAGAATATGGATCATAATCTCTTGGGTGTGTACAAGAATCTTCCTTTCCATTTGTTTTGTTAGTTTGTTCGCTCTTTTTGTGGGCGTGGAGGGGGGTGGGGAGAGGGTGCTTTTTTGACAATTCACAATAGCTGTTATTGCAGTTATCAGCGGCTTAACACACAAACGAGGCGAAAGGGTCAATTCTGGATTGTATTGACCCTTTCGCTTCGTTTGCATGCCTTTTAAAACGAAAGAATATATGAACGCAGACTCAACTGCAATAACAGCTATTCACTACAACATTGACCCCTTCATTATGTTTCGATTCGTTTGCCATGAAGCCTCTTGTTTTTTATCCTTTCAGGAAATATTGTGACGTTGGTTTTGTTGCATTTTACATTAGCAGAGCAGCCGCTTATGTTTACTGTGATTTTCACATGACGCTCAATAAGGTGCGATTTCGCCGTGAGTCTGTACTTAACATGCGACTGAGGCACTCTTTTTTCCCAGCAGGGCGTTCGCCCAAAAACAAAAACAACAAAAAACCCCGCCTAATCGTAGGTTGGTGCCACAGGTTAGTCTGTACTCTCAAAATGACAAAAGACTTCAAACCGTGTTGAAAACGGCCACCTCATTCAGCCGTTTTAGTTCTTAGCAAGTTTTGATATCATCTAAACGCCTGGTCAAATACATTCTTGACCCCAGAGCCCTCAGTACTATCACACCCTCAGTCACCTCAACAGCAACAACAAAAACAACATCAACAACAGCAAAATAAAGTAACTGGGGTCTAGCACAGGACAAATGGAATCCACTTGTCAACTCGCGAGAGTTTACTGAGGACTATTCCATCTTGTACTGTACTTCGTGCGGCAATTTACTTCAACAAGTGTGCTTGCATGACTTGATTGATGCATAGTTAACAGAGGAGAATGGTTCTGAAACTCGACAAAGGTCTTTGTTGTATGTTTTTGTTCTCTTTTTTGGCCTTGACCGTGCACAAAACACAATAGTTGTTTACTTCTGACCGAGGAACTAACCAACAGAAACGTGTTGGTTACGTAAGTCATGCAAAGTGTATGAACGCAAAACACAAGATTGTGAGCGGTCGTGGACCTTCCGACATAAATCTTGACTTCTTTGTTTGCTCCTTTGATGTTTGCCGGGCTTCATAACGTACCATCCCCCTCTAGTAACTATGATTGATGCCTCTGTAGTACCATGTTATCGAGAGGGCACACGACTTCAGCCCCGTCCACTCCACGCCGGAGAAATTTGAAAACACCGTGTTTTAGTTTTGGTGTGGACGGAAAAAAAATTTGAAAACGGAGCTTTTCAACAACGATGTAGTCACGAAAATCACGTGATTTCCCTGTCCGTGTTTTCCCCACACACAAATCCAAAATAGACCGGTGATTGTTGCGTTTTTAAATTACTCCGGCGTAGTGTGGACTGAACACATTTGATTCGTTTTCACAGCGAAAACTCCGTTTTCAAATTCTTCCGGCGCAGTGTGGAGGGGGCTTCCCAATAGTACTGGCCAGTGGCGGATCCAGACCTTGAGCTAAGGGGTCGAGGTGGGGGATAAGGGGGGGGGG